CTTTAACAACTAAATTACGAGGTGCGACTAATGATTGGATTTTTATTTCACTTCGCTGGTCGCTGGTCCGAATCCAGCTGTCGTCCGAATTTTCATATCACCTTTAATCATCACCCAGTATTAATACTAGTCTAACAAACTATGGTTATCCCAGATAGGCAAGCAATTAAAAATATGGACTATTGTATTCTGACTCAGAGGATCAGTGGTGATATGCTGGCCGAAGAACCTGGGTTCGATCCCTGGCGTGGACGGGTCATAGCTGCGCGCTGATGATGAGTCCCAAGATTTCATTGTTTCTCCAAGTGATGTCAGTCCATGATAAATACCAACCTAGAAAACTATTCATTGTCTTCATAGCATTATCAGTTTTTTAACGGTCTATTTGAATAAGAAGGAAATGATTCTCTTCATCGAAGATATGTCTTTCCTCAACGACTTCATTACTAAGGTGTACAGTCGTATTTATAATAAGGGAATTGTCAAATAAAGACACTTAAATGTTGTGAAGCCAGCACACATAAAATCCAAGTGGTCATGGTGGAGGTCGGCTGAAATGGAAGAAATGGAAAATGGATCTTTTAAAAAAGAATAAATTGATTTCAATCGACGAAATTAAGGTAAATTACTGTCGTGATAGTGTAAAATGATGATAATGGTGATAAATAAACTGAAACTCTCCAAACGACACTTTCGAATAATGGATGCCTTAGAGGATTGATTGATAACTTAAAGAAATGAAATACCGCACACCTTATTGCAATTCCAAAGAAAATTCTTATCATGAATCTGAAAAACAGGGGATGCTACAGCTAAGGTGTTGAATAGCCATCTGTTGAAAAGTATTAATAATCAATCTTGTGTTCTTCTATTCTGCTAGACTGTGGTTTATATTTGATTTGACAGTGCACAAAGGATAGGTTGGAGCTTATGTTCACATTTGCACGCATCTATGAATTCAGGTGATCCTACGGAGATGGATGTTTTAATCGGACACCTTGCAGAACAACAACCTTGTCCACACATGAACACCTAATGGATCTATACGTATCTCTAAGTAATGATAATTTCATCCTTAGTCAACAGACATACACAGATTCATACCCCAGATATATGTATATGAATGAGTCATCATCTCTTGATTTGGTTTCCTAACGTCATGATCGTTTTACTCATATTGATTTCATTACGCAACTAACACCAAAGTGATTACTAGACAGTCTAATAGGAACTTACATCCATATGATTTGATCTCCTTCATTCAAGCATAACACAGTGTTTCAGCAGTGAAATAATTTCACACTATATCCTACACTGGCTATTGTATTTCACCTGTTATCATAGATTGATAACTGTAGAGCCTGAAAAGGAGATTATTGAAAACAACTGCTTTCTTAGATTATTTTTTTCTGAATACTCTAGCCACTGCCCATCATTACTAAACATAGTTGAAAGACAGACAATATCGAGGCATCTGCATAGGAGCCCATATGCCGACAGAGACTGGTCAATTCGGTCCAATCAACGACGATGTAATACAAGCAATAACACTAAACCTATACCCGTCGCACAAGAAGCGGCTATCGTGGCTCGGTGGTGTAGTGGGTAACGCTCTGGCGTTTCGAGCGATCGCCCCCGAGCCCGAGTCCCGGTGGGAACAACATCACTCACTGGGAAGCAGGTACATCCAGCTGACGAGTCACAAATAGGACTAAATGCGCATCCTGGATACCACTGCTAGCCACTGCCCATCATTACTAAATCTTGAGGAATCTTTAAACCCCATAATCAGTCAACTAAATGACTTCATCAACTTTGCTTCTTGAAAACAGTAGAGATCGACGCTTACTATCCTCATTGTTCACGTTGATAGAATCCTTACTTTTCTTGAAAATTGTTTCTTTTAAACAATTAACTGTAGTTTACTAGTTGAAGTGACATGAAATTAACAACTGAAATGATTTTTTTCAGTTTAGACATTCTTATTATAAGCAAACTGATAGTTAACTTTCAGAATTGGAAAGTCAAGATCAAGAATATTTACTCAATTAACAAATGTAGTCCTTGAAGTATAGTTTTCCGTCGAAAGCAATTTCTTGAATTATAACCCTTGAAGATAAAAGGAAAAATTATATCCTTTAAATAAATTTAACTTATTTGCATAAAAATTCTGTTATGAACCCTAGTGAACTTTTATTAAAATGGCTCTTTATTTTCATGGTTACCATTAACGACATATGTATAAACTTTATGAAACTGTAAATTTAATTCATATTTAGCAAGAGTAGATTAGAAGATTTACCTTCTATGAATACGGTATGTTTACTAATTGAAAGAGAAAAAATGTTTTCTATTTTCATACACTTTTTTAAAGATATTTTAAACAAAACATTTTCCGGATATTATCTATGTGAATTGAAATGAACTGATTGATTCACTGTTGACTTACTGTATCCCATTAGATTTAATAAAGTTAGGAATATAGTTGTGAATTAAAAGGGGTACTTTTATGTCAGTCAAAGTATAATGGTTGTCCGATAGACTCTTTCTTCATTAAAGCATTGATCTTTAATACACTTTAAGATTCCAGTATCATAGAAATTTCAGAATTCGAGTTCTTTACTGATTTTTAGTCATCTTTACAGGTACAAGAACCAAATGAGTAAACTGAACAGAAAGTAAAATAAACAACTATACAACTGTTGAGTTAGTGTTTAGGAAACTAAGATGTCCATGAGACGGGGAAACAAAGTAGACAGTATTATATTACAGGCTGATAAAGAAGTCATGAATAAAATGAATGAATAGAGTAGAATAAATCTCTATTCAAGGATGTACATTTCTAATTATTCAACTAGAATGAAATTACATTTTATGATAGTCACAAAGTTTTACTTCAGTATGAATGATGTTTATTGGTCACCCATTTAACGGTTAGGATACCAGGAGGTTAAGTAAGCTTAGAGTAAGAAAAAAATAACTAAATAATATCAATGACAGATTAACTCTCCAGTTTTCAATATACACCTACTATGAGATGAAATTTACTGAAGTTTCAATGTGAAGTCGTGGACGATAAAGGAGAACAAATCGGATGTAGGGATAAACATTCAACTATGGCACTGGATGAATGTCATGTTATACCATGGACTAACAGAAGTAGGTAATGTTAACCACTGGATTCTAGTCCAGTGGCTGGATGATGGCGTACTCTCCACCAAACCCTTAAATCCCGGTTTCAGCCATGGCTGGCTAGTGAAGCCATACTGCCGAGGACTCTCATATTGGGAAAAAACAGCTGTCCACAGCTCCCATCTTTCGGATTCTCCTCCAACTCATGTCCGTTCATGATGGAAACCATCTTGAAGAATGACTAAATCCCCACTAATCTCCAAATTTAATTTATCCAGTGCTCATTCGTGACTAACTTCGAGAAGTGATTCCTGAAGTTCGAATGAGAATTTCGTGACCGGTGGAGCAAACCTGGTGGCCGTGAGACCAAATACTTAACAATGACATTGTTTCGCGTTCACGCTATGTTGCGAACTGACAGAAGTTGGAAATATGGACCATTTGATTCCAACCCAGTGGCTCAATGGTAACATGCTTGCCACAAAACCTGGAGGTTGTGGGTTCAATCCTTGTAGATGTGGGGTCATGGGTTTGCACTACTGAGGAGTCCCATATAAGTTTCCAATCTTCCTCCAACTCATGTCAGTTCGTAATGGATACTCCCTTGAAATCAATAAATCCCAACAACTTTCAGACTGGATTATGTTTTCTAATTTTTATTTTCATATTTTCATTGGACTTATTATCACAAAGTTACTCACAGTATGTTATGATTTCGACTTTTAACTCAATTGTAATTAAATAATCCCGATTAATATTATCACTTTTATTAACAAATTATTCGAAATCCTGTTTTAATACCAAAAGTGGTAGATTGTATAGATAACTGTCTACGTTTCTTGATATGGAATTGTTGCATTTAAAGTTACACCTCAATGAAGCTTTAACAAAAATATCTGTTCGCTTGATTCTTCATCTTTGCCTTAGGAATACTCCTTGAATTTAAAATAACTGCACTGAAATTCCTGCATAAGAAAATCTAGATATTTGATTGGTCAGTGGCGAGCAACAAATTTCATGCTGTCTAGTGGTGAGTACAGATTGAATTCTTCTAATCATTCTGTAATATGATCATTACACTAGGAAGCTAACCGTAGCGTTGCACAGATTTTAGTTAGTTGTCAGGAAGAGATGATTGAGCCAGGTGTATGTGCAACTTCAAGGGAACTAATATACTATGTGAGATATGCTTAAATGATGAAAGCCAGCAAGCATAAAACCCAGGTAAAGCAGGACTTCTTGTCAATCGCCTTCAACCAATCATGATTCTGTTCTTCTAAGAATACACAGTTAATCAGGTTTTCTCAATCAACTGCCTGTCTCTTATTGACAAATTGATTAAGATAGTAAAAGAATATACAGTTTGAAGATTTTCAGACCCACAAGAAAAGTTAAACAAGGCTAAAGTTTCTATTCTTCATCGATAAAAGAGGGATTAAGTAGCCGAGTTGAAGTTATGAAAAGGTTTGAGTCCTTAAGTCAAACTATTACATCACCTTTAATTCGCAGGCTCTCACTAAAGACTCTCCATTGATGTTTAGGTGGAACATTTAGTTTATTGGCCTTCTGGATTATAATAACCAAGATGGAAAAAGCAATACTACAGATACATAAATTCGATACAACTCTAGAAGCTACATTGTTTTAGACAGATATTTTTGAGCATCATTTAATGGCTACGTAATGAGTGAGAAGAGTGTAACCTTATCTCTTCAAGTATTAATTATCTGCCTTTTAAAAGTAAGACCGGATTCAGATGGTTATGAGACTGAATATTTCCCCTTTTAGGCTTCAATAGTGAGATAAAAATCATTACTTTAATGTAACAATAAGGAACAATTATTAAGAAAGAAATGCTCATTACATAAGTTTTTATTCACTGATTGCTAACAGCTGATAAATAGGGACTACCGATGGCTATAATAATAATAATAACAATGATTTTGTAGAAACTCAGATTCTCTTTCGATCAAGATACACCTAGTTAAGAAGTATCATTTTCACTTTTACTACTACGATTAGATTGAGTATTGTTACTGTTCATTTCTTCTTCATTGTTCACAAGAAGTTCATCTAAAATATCTTCCAAATAAACTGATACATTTTCGGTTAAATTGTTTATAAAAGCTTGAGTTAATTCTTGTGCAGATGTTTCACTCAATTTTGAGCTTTGTCTACTAATTATCTCAACACTTTCGCAGAATGACACCTAAATGAAAATGAAGATTAGATTATTATTGCATTTTAGTACTTCCAATATATATATATATATATATATATATATATATATATATATATATATATATTATATAATCATCTGTTTTGTACAAAGGATAATATTGGTGTCCACTGACTGAGGTGTCCATTTACTGTCATTTGAAAAACATTTCGCCAATTTCCTAAACACCCCATATCAAGTAAGCACTACTGAAGAATTTATATGAGTAATGACATCTAAAGTTGAATTTGATGTCAGTGACCAATCGCTATGGAGATGTATCGTTTCTAATAAAATGTTTGAAGACTATTATATTATTTTATTATTATTCCCTTGGGTTCCTAGTGGAACATAGGGCTTCAGTAGCACGCCTCCAGTGACCTCTGTTCTCTGAGATCTCTTCAACCTGGTTCCACGACAGCCCACAAGCTCTCATTTCCTCCTCGCACGATCTCCTCCATGTCACCCTTGACACCGACGCCCAACTCGTCGCTTCCCATGGGGATTCCACTCGAGCAACTGGCCTGACGCGTGATGTCCTCAGTCGGCCTTCTCAGTGTATGCCCAATCCATCTCCACTTCCTCCTGCATATTTGTTGAGCGATAGGTTCTTGGTTGGTTCGTTCCCAGAGTTCCTTGTTGCTTATTCTTTATTCTGGCCATCTGATTTTCAGTAGCGAGCCAGCGTAGGCAGTTGTTGATGAATGTCTGTAGTTTGTTGGAAATGCCTTTCGTGACGTGCCAAGTCTCTGAACCATACAAGAGCACTGACTTGACGTTGGTGTTGAAAATCCGTATCTTGTTCCGCATGCTGAGTGCAGAAGATCTCCCCACTGGTTTCAGGCTAATGAACGCCTGTCTTGCTTTTCCGATTCTGACTTTGACGTCCTCGTCCGTCCCGCCTGTAGTTAAAACAGTGCTTCCTAGATAGGTGAAGGAGGTTACTTCCTTTAAGTTTCTCCCATTGATGGTGACTGGAGTTTGTTGTTGCTGTTGATGGTGGTGGTGCGGTATCTTCATCACCTCTGTCTTCTCTATATTCACCTGAAGTCCCGTCTTCGCTGCCTCTTCTATCAACTTGTTAGTTTTTGCCTGCAGATCTTCAAGTTTATGTGACATTAGGCATAAGTCATCGGCGAAATCCAAGTCTTCTAGGTTCTTTTCCGTAGTCCAGCGTATCCCCCTCTTCTCGCTGCCTACTGTTTGCTGCATGATCCAGTCCACCACAATAAGGAATATCATGGGGGATAGTAGGCAACCTTGTTTCACTCCTGTCTTCACTTCAAAAGCATCACTGAGCTTCCCATTGTGAATTACTTGGCATGTGGCATCTTCATATAGTTGTTGAATGAGGCGGATAAAGGTTTGCGGTACTCCGTAGTATTGAAGCAGTTTCCAAATTACTTCTCGGTCGACGCTGTCAAAGGCCTTCTCAAAGTCGATGAAGTTGAGGTGGAGAGCTGATTGCCATTCTATGCTCTGTTCTATGATGATGCGAAGCGTTGCAATTTGGTCTGCACATGATTTGTACTTCCTGAAGCCTGCCTGTTCCGGTCGCAGTTTTGAATCCAGTGCATCTTTAAGCCTCTCTAGGATGATGCGGCTTAATATTTTACTTGGGGTGGACAGGAGAGTGATTCCGCGCCAGTTCTTGCAAGCACTGAGGTCTCCCTTCTTCGGCAGTTTGACAAGGTAACCCTTCTTCCAATCGTCCGGTACCTTCTCTTCCTTCCACACCTTCTGCAATAGTGGTGTGAGCATGTCCGCTGTTGTCTCTGCATCTGTTCTCAGTGCTTCTGGCGGTATCCCATCTGGTCCTGCTGCTTTCCCGCATTTCAGTAGCTTTATGGCGTTCAGGACTTCCATTTTCGTTGGGGGATTGATGTTCACTTGTAATTCAGCGGCTGCAGGTGGTATTTCTGGACGAAGTGCAGGTGGTGGTCGATTCAAGAGCTTCTTGAAGTGGTCGGCCCATCGTTTCCTCTGTTTCTCTTCTTTTGTAATTAAATTTCCTTCTTCATCTTTTATTGGTTTCATCTGTGTTGGTCTCTTCCCTGATAGCAACCTGGTTATTTGATACAATGTCGTCAGGTCTCTCTTACCTGCAGCCTGTTCTGCTTCACTTGCCAGTGTGTCGTAGAAGTGTCTTTTGTCTTTGCGTGCACTCTTCTTCACTTCTTTGTCCAGTGTTTTATACATTGTGCTCAGTTCCTCTTGTCGTTGAGCATCCTTGCACTGGTTTATCTTCTGCTTCACCATCCTCCTCTCCTCTATCAGCTTCCAGGTATCCGTCGAGATCCATTCCTTATCTTCTTTCTTCTTCCTTCCTAATACTGTTGTGCAGGTTTCTTTCCACATAGCTTTCAAAGACTTCCAGTGTTCTTCCACACAGGTTTCTTCAGGGATGTTCCTCGATGTCTCCCATTTTGTCTTGATGGCTGCCGTGAAGATCTCCTTTGTAGTTTCATCCTTCAGTTTCCAAGTGTTGTACTTGAATTGAGGTCTATCACCAGCTTCCTTGAAGGCTTTTAACTTGATTTCGAAGGTTCCTTGCACTAGATAGTGGTCTGAACCTACATCTGCTCCTCTTCTTGACCTTGTGTTAAGTAGACTGCGTCTCCATTTTCTTGAGATTGAGATAAAGTCGATTTGATTTTTAGTGTGTCCATCTGGTGAAATCCATGTCGCTTTGTGGATATCCTTGTGCCTGAACACACTGCCTCCAATCACCAAATCGTTGAATGCACAGAATTCTGCAAACAATTCTCCATTCTCGTTCATCTCACCGAGTGCTTCTCGACCCATGGTTAGTTCTCTTCCTGTGTTGTCTCCTCCCAGTTTGGCATTCATGTCGCCCATTAGAATTTTGATATCGCCAACTGACGTCTTGTCCAGTGTTGATTGAAGTTGTCTGTAGAATTCCTCCTTTTTCTCTTGCTCTGCATTATTTGTAGGTGCATAACATTGGATGATTGTGACCTTTCTTCCTTTTGAGTTGAATCTTGCTGTCATGATCCTGGAGGAGATTGGTTCCCACTGCATGAGAGCCTTCGATGCTCTTGAGGACATCATGATAGCCACTCCCTCAGTGTGCTCGTGGTTGGCGTCTGGGTGACCGGAGTAGATTATTGATTCTCCAGTTGACAGTTTGGAGAGTCCACTCCCATTCCATCTGCTTTCGCAAATTCCAAGCACTTCGATGTTATACCTTCTCATCTCCTTTGCAATCTGGGCTGCCTTACTGGGTTCAAACATCGTGCGGACATTCCATGTCCCCACGTTTACTTTCGCTTTCATCGAGAGAAGACACATCGGCCAATTGGTTTCCCGAAGGCTTTCACCAACTGGCGTCATTTCGCCTCTCCGATTCCAGCGGGGAATAAGTTTGTTTTCATTTTTTATATTTTGTTTGCGCTTTGAAGTTTCTTTAGCGGTTAGATTTGTTTTACGGGGTAGGGTTGCTAGCCCTATGCCCAACCTTCCCTGTTTACCCGGGCTTAGGACCGGCTAGTAACTAGTAAACTAGTTAACCAGGCGAGGTTGTTTGAAGACTAGTGACAGCATAAATCTGTTAGTCATCATCATAAAATTCTTTAGCTTTGATCTAACTTTAGTTGTTTCCGAGCTTTTGATTAGAAGCAAGTAGCTTTTAATTTTGTTAAGTATGATTCTTTACATTCGAAATTCCAGTAATTTTCATTTGCTAATGAACAAAATTATATTACTATTATTATTAGTAGTAGTATTATTATTTGTCTTTGAGTTCCATGTAGAACATAGGGATTCAGTAGCGCGTCACAATTCCACTCCATTCTCTGCAGTCTTCCCTTTCAACCTGACTACACGAATACCCCACAAGATTTCATTCCTTCTTCACAACACCTATTCCAACTCCATGTCACCCTCACCTCGGACACCCAACTCATTGTTTCCCATACGGGTTCCACTCGACGACCAAGCTTGGCGCGTGATGTCACCAAATGGTCTTCCCAGTCTATGTCCTATTCAATCCATCTCCACTCGCTTCTTCTGTATACCTGTTAAGCGATAGGTTGCTGGCCGGTTGGTTCGTTGCCTGCCAGCCAGCCAGCCGACCAGAGTTCTTTGTTGCTCATTCTTATTATTCTCGCCATCTGATATTCACTATCAGTATCGAGTGAGCGTGGGATGCAACTGTTCATGAATGATATCTGCAGTTCGTTGAAAATGCTCTTTGTAACGTGACAAGTCTCTCAACCATCACACAGAAGCACTGAATTACTGTTCAAACTCCGGATGTCGTTCTTCATGCTGAATGCAGTGCAATGCAGTGCAGCAGATCTCCACAATGATTTCAGATTAATGAATCATAAACTGTAAACTGAATAGCTTCTCCAACACTTAAATATCATCTACATTAGACTACATTTCTACGGTGCACCTTCACTAGGTTTTAATGTACAATAACCGGGGTAATTCCTAATTATCTGATATTCCAGAGAAAATCTTGGTTGATTCACCAACATTAAAGATATTTTTCTGCTTTCAAAAATGACTAATATAAACCTTGTATCCTTAAAGGGAAATAATGCTGATAATTCAGTTGGCTAAGTTAGCTGAAATATTGTTAGTGAGAATAGGAACCTTTATAGAAGAAGATTGTCAGTAAACTTTTAAAGAAATCTCTGACTTGAAACACAAATCTTATGCACACAAAAATGCATCATTCCCTGTTAGATCATACTGGTTTACGTTAGGATAAGAAGATTAACCATGACAGGTTACTGGGGAGCAACAAATTTTAGGTCGTCGTCATGAATATAGAGAGAATTCTTTCAGTCATTCTGTAATGAGATAATCAAGCCAGGAAGCTCACCATAGCGTTGCACTCTGACGGATTTCATTTGGTTGGAGGCGGCCGGCAAAAATATCACCTTGAGCCAGGTTTTTAAGCTTCCAGTACCCGTCAGCAGAGTGTATTTGAAACCTCGAGGGAACTGACGTCCCGTGTGAGTTTCGAACCTGAGTCATCTAATGCTGCAGTTAGTAATTGAATTCGATGGAGCCCAAGACTAGACAACAGGGAGTTGACCACTCTTTACTGACCAATTAATGCATGTAACCCAGTTCTAAAGGAGATCAGTAGTGGCCTAAACAACTCAGTGGTAAAGTCTCTTACTGTAACACTGGGTGAAGTAGGTTCATATCTCACAAGCTGACATCAGTTCCTTTGACTGTCGATTGCCTCCAGTCAATTAACATCTATAAGAAGATTTGAACTGCAGCCAGTTTGACAAACAACAAACATTTTCAGATCTCTTAGTTACATAACAAAGATAAAATCATTAGTAGCTGGAGTCAAATAAAGCCATAGATATCAGTCGGTGTTCATAGTTTAGAAGTCATGCCAGTAGTTCTGTAATTCAGAAGTCGTTTATTGAAATCCTAATACAGCTCATATCATACTTCTCATTCAGACTGCATTATAAATTTATTTTATTTCTTTATACAAGCGTACTGTTTATCTGAACATAATCATTATTAAAAGTTACTAAGTAATGTGGATCCCTAATGTTACTTAACAAACATCTTTCAGATAACAGACTAGGTGTAGGTGAAGACTGCTGACTCAGTAAGCACAAAACTGGACTAGTCTCAAACAAAGGGAGAAATCTTAACTTCATTAAATCTGCAATCTAGAAATATTTTTTATTCATAGTTGTTAAATTTTAGCTTCAGTCAATGCCAACTTATACGAATTAAGCTATAAATATTTAGTATTACATTTGGCCATTATATACTCTGATCTATTTGTCTACTTTTATATTGAAAATTATTTTATTAGTTTCCATGAATATTTCAAAGGAATTCCATTAATTTCAAACTTATGTTCTTCCAATATACTCCATGGAGTTGAAGTCACTTTCGATATTTGTATTAGGCTGACAAAATAAAGGCGAGAAATTTAATCATTTGCTTTACTGTTCCATAGAACTTCTTCTGTAATACGCGGTTTATTAGTGTGGGTTTGTAAATAAAACATTGAATGTAACCTATAGGTATCGTGTCATTAGATATGAGGTTTTATTGTAGTACATCCTAGTAGGTTTGGAAGGCATACGGCAATTGTTTATTTTTATGATAAAATTCTTCTAAAAGTAAGTTTAAAGTGATCGAAACCGAGAAATTCGGCTCACTTTGTGATCACCTCTCTTTCAAGCCAACGTTTTAATCAAAATATAAGCTAATTAGTCAAATGGTGTGATTCTTCCTACAGTAAGAATGAACACAAATCTATTACTGGTGATACATTCGATATTACATTTCTTTGATTAGAATTCTCCTAAAATCAGTATCAATTTTCTTATTCGTTAGTTTGTTCTTAGGTAATTGATCGAAAGAGGTGTTTGACTTGGGTTTGACACTGGTTAGCACTTGTCAGAAAGACATATCTGAGATCTTAAGAAAACTAATGTCTTATCATCAGAGGTAAAAAATGTGTCACTCACTACAGCAATCAGAGATTTACAACCGAGTTATTAGTTATATGATCAACTTTATTTAGATCTCTATAAGATACACTGATTGATCACTGGAGAGCAACTAGATTCATATTTTGTTGGTTCAGTGTACTGATCGAATTCTACCCATCATTTTGCTAAGTGGTCACTAAGCTAAGAGACTCATGATCACAGCTTACTTTGATAGGTGTTGGTTGGTTGAAGGCAAATGGCAGCACTCATCAGCAAGGGGTATCTGCAGCCTCAACTGTAGTGTCCAAGTTTAACTATTACATTGATTTCAGTATGTTAGTTTCAATTTCTACCCTGTGATCATATTGACTTTCCGAATGATCGTGCATAAAAGTCATCGAAGTATTTTTTTTATCTTACAATTTTCACATTGTCACATTTATTTACCTGCATTTTAAAGACACTTATAGTTGATTGGTTGAAACAGCTAATCACTTTTTATTTGTTTCTAGATGTAATTCATTCATCAGTTGTGTTTTTCATATCGTGACATACACCCAAATACTCGGAGATTCTAGATTTGCATTTTAAGTATTCTTGGTTGTAACTTAATGTTATGGTATCTAACTTCAAACAATCTTGTATCCTTGGTTCCATGATCTTATGCCTAAGCCAAGAGTTTGGATATGTACGGAGCCTTGACACATAAACTTAAACCATGAATAAGATTCATACTGCTCACTTTGTGTTCATCAATTGACTATCTGAGACAGCCGTAGTATGGCAGACTATTATTTATACTGGGTGAATCAGTGACTATCGATCAATATGATGGTTTCCCTCTATAATTCAATAAGATTTGGACTAGGATGAGAAGTCCCGACTAAGCGGTCAGTGTGAATACGATCAAGTGGTAGTAACGCATCACGAATTCACATAGTAATCGGACAAAATCCTTAATGAGTGAAGTGAAACAAAAAATGTGGTCAGCAGTCAAACCTCGTAGGTGAGTTGGTAGAGCGTCAGGCCAGAAACCCGGTGGTCACTGGTGCTAATCCAGCCGCGGTCCAGATTTTCATTTCACCTTCAGTCATCAACCTGTATAACTATTTTATGTTTCAAAATACTAAATGACCATTATGAATGGTAATTCATAAAAACGGGTTTAATCAACTTACAGAAGGTTTTACATAATCAACAGAATCAGAAATTTTACTAATTTGATCTTGGTCTTGTTCTAGTAATTCCATAAACTTTAATATTTTCTCTTCACTCCCTTGAATGATCTGGTGGCAATAAGAATAATAAGTAAAAGAACTAAATAAATAATATTTCTACATAATATTTATCAATTATTAATGGTTACTTCATTCGATAGCATACCACACGTTTGCATAACATGGATATCTACCTGTTAGACAACTACACTTTCATGCTTGTAATAATGAAAAATTGTTTTCTAGGGAAAACAAGTCACCCTAATGTCATACATGCATATATGTGCATACATATATCCAGTGGCTCAATGGCAACCTGCAGACCATAAAACCTGTAGGTCTTGGGTTCGACTCCTGGTGGGGTCACAAGTGAGTGATGCTGAGGAGTCCCATACTGGGATGAAACAGCTACCCAGTAGTCCTAGATTTTCAATACCTCTGAAAATGATTTCAGTCCATGATAAATATCAACCTGAAATTAATAAAATGAATGCCCGCAAGCCTCTAGATTGAACAACTTTCTAATGTTCATTACTGACATGCTTCGAGATCGGATTTTCTGAAGTTGAGATGAGAACTTCTGACTTTTGACGTAAGTGAAGTCGTACTTGAAGATACTCAGTGATGACAACGGACTGAAGTCACGGTATATAACAAATTGGCAGACAAAGCTAACTGGATCATTGGATTCAATCCCACTGACTCAACGGTAACCTGTTGGCAGCAAAACCCGAAGCTTCTGTGTTCGACCACTGACAATGTAGGGTCATAGATGCCCATTTCTGAAGAGTTGCATACTTGAGGAAAACGGATGTGCAGTCCTTCCAGGTTTTAATGCTTCTCCAAATGATATATTAAATACATTCTCACTATGGTGTTTAGCAAGAATAAATGATTACATTCCAATTTCATCACCATTCAACAGCATGGTACATGAAAACGTATGTTAGACTGTGTCAGATGAAGTTACCACTTAGCTTTCAAACTTCATTACGTTTTCTTTCGAATCAATCAAGGAAGTAGGTAAAATCATCATTTAAAAGCTGGATTTTTTGTAGGTTTCTAAATGTGCTCTTTCTACAAATATACAAACGAAGATTTCCAAGAGGAAAAGTTAATGTATATTGTTCACAAAATTACTGAATATCAAACAGTAGTAACAACATGCTTTCATCCTCAAAAACTGTAGAAATCCTCACCCAATATCCATATTTATCAGTCTTCCCTAAAAAGACTATTCTAAGAGTTATCCTCATTCACAATGGGAAGCTCAGTGATGCCTTTGCAGTGAAGTGAAGACAGGAGTGAAACAAGGTTGCCTACTATCCCCCATGATATTCCTGATTGTGGTGGACTGGACTGTATCATGCAGCAAACAGTGGGCAGCGAGAAGAGGGGGATAGGCTGGCTGGACTACGGAAAAGAATATAGAAGACTTGGATTTCGCCACTGATGACTTGTGTCTGATGTCACACAAAGTTGAAGATCTACAGGCGAAAACTAACAAGTAGGCAGAAGAGGCAGGTCAGGGCAGCGAAGACGGGACTTCCTTCAGGTGAATATAGAGAAGACAGAGGTGATGAAGATACCGCACCAACAACTCCAACTCCAACAACAAACTCCAATCACCATCAATGGGAGAAACTTAAAGGAAGTAACCTCCTTCACCTATCTAGGCAGCACTGTTTCAACTATAGGCGACACAGGCACAGACGAGGATGTCAAAGTCAGCCAGGATCGGAAAAGCAAGACAGGCGTTCATCAGTCTGAAACCAGTGGGGAGATCTTCTGCACTGCACTCAGCATGTGGAACAAGATGCGGATTTTTAACACTAATGTCAAGTCAGTGCTTCTGTCTGGCTCAGAGACTTGGTGCGTTAGGAAAGGGTTTTCCAATAAACTACAGACATTCATCAACAACTGCCACCTACGCTGGCTCGCTACTGAAAATCAGATGGCCAGAATAATGAGAATAAGCAACAAGGAACTCTGGCCTGGCGACGAACCAACCAAGAATCTATCACCCAACAAATATGCAGGAGGAAGTGGAGATGGATTGGGCATGCACTGAGAAGGCCGACTGAGGACATCACGCGTCAGGCCAGTTACTCGAGTGGAATCCCCATGGGAAGCGACGAGTTGGGCGTCGGTGTCAAGGGTGACATGGAGGAGATCGTGCGAGGAGGAAATGAGAGCTTGTGGACTGTCGTGGAACCAGGTTGAAGAGATCTCAGAGAACAGAGTGGAGTGGAGACGTGCTACTGAAGCCTTATGTTCCACTAGGAACCCAAGGGACTAATAATAATATAATAAGAGTTATCCTCAAAATCAGTTGAAATCTTTTGGTGTTCAGTTCAATATATCGTTATCGACGTGGCCTTTAAATAAGAGTAGTTTCAAAATATTTCTGCTAAAAGATAGTTCCATGAGAATTGCACTTCATTCAAACCAAGAGTGATCTTCACTATAGTGGACTTGTTAAATCTGTTTTTCCTGTATGCCAAGATTAGCAATGTTTCGAAAAAAATTATCTAGACTAGTGCCTAGACTTAGTGCCTTAGAAGTTTGACAATGCTCTAAAAATGCAAAATAATATATCACTAAAGAAAAATTAACTGAGAAAGGAAAATGGCTTACTCCTTGAACCATCTCCTTAGCTATGTCATATAGTATTGGTTGAATCTCTTCTAAGCTCACTTTTTCATCCCGAACATCCTCAGCAAGTGACTGAATTTTCTTTATCGGTTCATTTTGTGAAATTTCATCTGCCTGTTCTTGAGCTTCAGGTGATTCTGACCCACCAGACAAAGAAGTTTTTTCTTTACCTGATATAAAGTAAATGATTAGTTCAAATGCATATCTCTATCAGTTAGTAAATAAGTGTGAAGCTGTATTTCATCGGTCTAGGCACTCTATTCTCAGCCAGTAGGTCACGGGTTAGAATAATCTTCGACCTACTAAGGTTTCGGCAGTCAGGTAGTAAATATTATTAGCCTTTATCTAATATATGTGGCTCACTGCCTAATGCACAAACGTGTACAAGGTTACTGGGTGGAATTCCATTTCTGTCGAATGAACTAACAGTTAGTGTAATGAAAACAAGTTGTCTCTTTTGAAAGACAACAATCGAAATAGTTCGGATCATAGTTGAGTATGCTTACTTTTGGATTCATCGAGTGAGAGAAGACACATAGGGCAATTGGCTTCCCGAAGGCTTTAATCAACCGGTGTCATTTTGTCTGCCTAATTCCAGAGAAAAATAAGTTTGTTTTTTGTTTCCTGTGTCATTTCCTGTGTCTTTAGTGATTAGATTAATTTATGGGGTAGGGTAGCCTAGGCCTATGTCCAACCTCCCATCTTTATCCGGGTTAGGACCGAATAGCAGACTAGTGAACTGGTATACTAGGCGAATAATAGACAAGACCCCAGTTGATGACATCGAAATTCTAATAGGTGAGGTGATATGTATGCCAAACTTGAAGCATACGACACAGGAAGAGAACTAACCATGGGTCGAGAAGCGCTCGGTGAAATGAACGAGAATCGAGAACTGTTTGCAGACTTCTGCACAGTTAATGATTTGGTGATTGGAGGCAGTGTGTACAAACACAAGGATATCCATAAAGTGACATAGATTTCACCAGATGGACACACGAAAAATCAGACTGACTACATTTCAATCTCAAGAAGCTTGAGACGCAGGCTGCTGGACACAAGATCAAGAGGATGAGAAGATGTAGGTTCACACTACTCACTATCAAGTGCAAGGAACCTACCTTCCAAATCAAGTTATAAGCCTTCAAGGAAGCTGGTGACAGACCACAGTTGAAGCTGAACATCCAGAACACAAATTGAAGGACGAAACCACAAAGGAAATCTTCACGACGGTTCGTCATGAAAAAAAAATGCGAGACACTAGGCAACTTCCCTGAAGAAACCTGAGTGGAAAAATACTGCAACTCCATGAAAGCAAAGTGGAAAAAACTTCCATTACTGTGTCACGAAGGAAGAAGAAACAAGACAAGGAATGGATCTCCACGGACACATGGAAGCTGATAGATAAGGGAGAGGAGGTAGAGGAAGATGGTGAAGCAGAAGATGAACCAGTGCAGTTCAGTGCAGTGCACGGATGAACAACGGAAAGAGTAACTAAACACAACCTATAAAACACTACACTGGACAAACAAGTGAAGAAAGGTACGCGGAAAGATAAAAGACACTTCCACGACACACAAGTGAGGCAGAACAGGCTACAGGTATGAGGGACAGAGATCTGACAACATCATATCAAATAACCAGATTACTATCTGGAATGGAAGAGATCAACACAGATGAAACCAATGAGAGATGGTGAAGGTAACTTAGTTATCGCCAGAGAGGAGAAAAAAAGAAAACGATGGGTTTACCACTTTGAAAAACTATTGAATCCACCACCACCAACTGCAACTCATCCAGAAATATCACCAGCAGACCAGCCACAGAACTACCTGTGAAAACAAACCCTCCGACAAAAGCAGAAGTGAAGTCCTGAACGCCACAAAAGTGCTGAAATCGGGGGAAGCAGCAGGACCAGATGGATTTCTGCCAGAAGCACTGAAAACAGAGGTAGAGACAGCAGTGGACATGCTGTCACCACTATTATGGAAGGTTTGGGAGGGAGGAAAGAAAGGTACCTGCAGATTAGAACAAGAGCTACTTCGTCAAACACCAAATGAAGGGTGACCTAAGTCTTAGCAAGAACTGGCATGGAATCATGCTCCACCTCTGTCCACTCCCAAGCAGAATATTAAGCCGCATCGTCCTGGAGAGACTTAGAAATATTCTGCATTCGCCTGGATTACGACCGGAACAGGCTGGCTCGTTGGCTTTCTTTAAGTAGAACAAGTCATGTGCAGATCAAATTGCAAAGCTGCGCTGCGCATCATCATAGAACAGAACATAGAACGGCGGTCAACTCACTACCTCAACTTCATCCACTTTGAAAAGGCCTTTGATAGCGTCGACCAAGAAAGTACTTCGCAGCTGCTTCAACACTACGGTTTTGGTGTCACAAACCTTTATCAACGTCATTCAACAGCAGCCATATGCTATATGATGCTACATGCTAAAATGGAAAGCTCAGTGATACCTTTGAAGTGAATACAGAAAGAAGTAAGACAAAGTTGCCTACTATCACCAATGATCTTCCTGACTGTGATCGAATCGACTGGACTGGTGGACTGTGTCGTGCAAGACAGGCTTAGGCTGGCTGGACCAATGAAATCCTTAGAAGATTTGGATTCTGCCGATGATGATTTATGTCTAATGTCTTGTCGCACAAACTCGATGATCTACAGGCGAAAATCAACAGGCAGAACGAAGAGGCGGCGAAAACAGACTTCACGTAAATGCAGAGAAGACAGGTGATGAACAAACCCAACCACCACCACCAACAACAACAAGCGCCAATCACCACCAACGGGAGAAATCCAAAGGAAGTAGCCTCTATCACCTGCCTACCTAGACAGCATCGATTAAACTACAGTCGGCCCAGATAAGGATGTCAAAGCCAGCCAAGATCGAAAAGACAGCAAGATAGGCCTTCCTTCATTAACCTGAAATGAGTGTGGAGATCTGCTGCACTGAATTGCACTGCACTCATCATGAAGAAAGACATCCGGAGTTTCAACACTAATTCAGTCAAGTAAGTCAGTGCTTGTGTATGATGGTTGAGAGACTTGGCACGTCACGAAAAGCATTTCCAACAAACTACAGACATCATACAACCACAGGTGCTACTACTCTCACTCGATACTGATACTGAATATCAGATGGCGAGAATAATAAGAATGAGCAACATGGAACTCTGGTCGGTTGGCTGGCAGGTTAACTGGCTGGCAAACCGGTCCCTCAGTGCCCACTGAAACAGGTCTAAAAGGATGCTCACTATATTGTACACTAGTTGGTAATTAGCAATGCAATCCATAACTCGGGATTCATCCCACTGAGTGTTGTTGCTCCCATTCGGACTCAAACCAACTGTTCAACTCTTCAAATTTCAAGCATGATCCACTAAATCACAGAGAAGATGTAGTTCAGATCTCAGTGGGAACGATATCCGCCACTGTGGTACAAATGCATCCAGTTAACGAATACCAAATAGGACGAGATGCATGTCTTCGATCCCACTGCTCACTACCAAATAATCTACATCACAACAAACTTCCAGGAATTATTGAGGCATACGCATACGAGCCCATCTTCCAACACAGATCCAGAATTTCGACCCACTGTAGTAATGGGGAATTACAAGTATCAATAAGCATACACAAGAAGATTTATATACTCCATATCACATCAATTATTATTATCGTTATCATTATTATTATTATTAACTTAATTGGTCCCTTGGTGTTCCGAGTGGAACATAGGGATTCAGTAGCGTGTCACAATTCCACTCCATTCTCTACGGTCTTCTCTTTCAATCTGACTACACGAATCCCCCAAACATTTCATTCCTTCCTCTCACCATCCATCCCATCTCCATGTCACCTCACCCTCACATCGGACACCCAACTCGTCCTTTCCCATACGGGTTCCACTCGACAGACTAGATTGGCGCGTGATGTCCCCCACATTAACCTTCGAGAATTACAACCTGTGTTGTTTTAGCACACACTAATAACATTTCAGATCTCTGTGTGTGTGTGTGTGTTTGTTATCTTTTAGCGCGAAACGTGAATAATCCTGACCACTTCGATGAAAGACTTCAGCCTCCACCATTCCTAGTCACTAAAACAACCAACCAGAGAGAGCAATAACCCTAGCTTCAGACGTTCACATAACACGAGTTTGACGGATACATGTACGGAAGGATGACTCTGAGTTATTGGAATATCAGATTGATTGATTATTGAGGAATTATATAATCAGATATTGACAAGCTGTGTCATGGAATCTTTCCAAATCTTTGAAGTAGACTAGCTGGTTACTTGATGGTGGTCAGCAGTGAATCTATGAAAGGACATTGATACTCTCAATACTGTAGACTAACCTTGTTGGCATGATATGCACACGTGAGAAAGCCCTTTTATTTTTTATATTTAACTACCTACTGTTCTGCAACATTATGTTTATTCTTTGCTCTAAACACTACCAGAGACAAAATGCAATTAACAGTGGTCTCCTTAGATACGAATCATTCATCAAATGAATTTTTAGACTCAATATATTTCACTGTAAGCTTTGATACTTGCGGGATATATATATATATATAAGTTGAATAAACAACTAACGCAGTGATATATGGACGAAACTATATATGGAACTTGGAATATTCTGACAAAAGATTAGTTGACGAAGCAGACGATTACTTTTATGAGAAGCAATCGATATCATTAGTTTCAGAAGGTAAGTGGTTTATTCATCTGCTTGTAGAAAACTGAGTTAACAGTGTTGCTGTAAAATGCCGAGACAGTTCTTTGCCTCATTAAATATTACTCACGCTTTTCATACTACTTAGTTGAAATTAAGTAGTTGAAAAATCCCTAATCTAGTAAATCTGTGTCATTTAAAAATCCAAGCTATCTAGGAATAAAGTTTTAAAATTGCTTAGCAAACCCAAATTTGCGCATGACTTCATCAAAGATTACCCCTGCTTTGATTCGTACCTAACCTATACTGTTATTTTTTTATGATTACAAGTACTGGTTAACAGGATTTTTGCCATCCAGCTCTGAAGGCTTTTCGGTCAAAAATCTATACATGTTTCCTAGTGTTTATTAAGTCGACAGTGGTTTATCGAAAACATGGTTACGAGCTGAAATATTTTAGTTTAACCATGAAC